TCCCCCCCTCTCTCTCTCCCTCTCGCTCCCTCTCTCTCCCTCGCTCTCAATCTCTCGCTCCCACCGCCCCCCCCCGAGCCCCCCCACAGCCGGTTGAGGACCGGAGCAGCGCATGCTCCACCCAGCATTGTAAGAGAATGTGCAGAATACAGCTCAGCACTGAATGTAAATTCCTAACCTTTGCGAGAAGGAATTAACGGGGATTTTTAATTGCTAAACAGTCACCTTGGATAAAGTGCCCCGCTCTGTCCATTCCCTTAAGCCCTGGGCTTCCTCACACAGAATCAGCCGCACGGTGGTGGCTCTCTCAGAGAAGCCATGGAAGGCGTTCTCCAGGGGGTGACTTTTATGCTGTTTGCAGGGGACCATCTTTTCCTGGGAGTGGTCAAAGAAGACCAGAACATGTTAAAAGGTCCATGGGGATCCTTTTTACCATAGTGACATTTCCAGCCATCTCCTTTCATTGGGCTATCAGATCCGGGCTGCAAAACTCTGGAGAACCCCTAGACTACTGTTTCTCAACCCTGGCAACTTTAAGATGTGTGGACTTCAACTCCCAGGATTCCCCAGCCATATAGGGTGCAAAAGGTTTTGAATATTATTTCTACATGAAGGGCTTGCTCCACATCTGAAATCTGGATTTCTCTAAATATAATGCCTTTAATTGCTTGCATAAAAATTAGTGTAATTCTTGATGTCATTTATGATTTATACTGTGCTGACTACACAGCTGATATTATTACTTTGATTTAATAGTTGTTTGTACTTTTTTAGAATGATATAGTATATTCAATTACTTAAATCAATGAAATATTGGAAATTTTAACCTAATTCCACGATGCTTCTAAATATCCTGTTTATCCCCTTTTTGTTTAATTTTTTCTTTTTTACCTCTTTCTCCCTTCCCTTCTTTTATGTGTTTCTTTTCTTTTCCCTTTCTTAAAAATGCTCAATAAAAACATAATTTAAAAAAATAGGGCTTGCTTTTAAAATACAACAGTCACTAGAATTCCTTCGTTATGCCTTTCTAACTTTATTTTAATAAAGATTATTTATTGGGAGTTCTTGGATTCTCATGAGTTGCCTGTTTAATTCCAGCCTGCTTAAATTTATTACTCAGATTAATATAGGATGAATATTACTGTTTGTTCCTCAAATTACTGTATATGATTTTTAAAAAATATATCATTAAGTCCATTAATCCACAGACATGCACCAACATAACATTGCCTTTTTGAACACATGGTTAGAAGGATGTATAGAACACAAACTCATAGAGTTCACTTTAAAGTATGAGTGGAAGACTGTTTTCAGAATTTAAAAAAAACACGTTGGAATATAGTATACTGGCTTATTCTGAGGTGAGTTATCTATCTGTGAGCTATTTAAATCATTTTAGTAAATCATCTGGTAAATTAAAAAACAAGTCCAACCCATGATATTTTGCTGAGTCAACCAAATGGCAAAATAGAGGTTCTGCTTCATTCCACGTCCAGGTCATTCAATATCTTGAAGCCTAAGGTCATTCTGGGAAAATTAGAACTGGAACTAAATTTACTTTGTAAATGTTCAAACAATGCATTTGTTCTGGGTAAATTGAGAACAAATGCTACTTCTACTGTGCATATATAATTTGTTCTGCATTATAGGTGCCTTCATTTCACAAAAAAATCAGCATATACTGCAATAACCCCACGCAATGGAAGAGGAAAAGTGTTGTGAGGCGTATCACACGAAAGAAGAAAAGAATGATAGATTTTGAAAAGGGTCAGCAGAAACATAATAGTTTCTCCAGAAATGATTTAATGTACATTTCTTGAATCTAGGGCAGCAGTGATAGCTAAATTCCTTACTTGAATCTAGGGCGGTATAGTTAGTGGTGAGGCTAGCTAGGAATTCGTTTTCTGATGTGAATCAAGTTACTTACTCCGGTTTAGAGCATTCCTGAATCAGTCAAGAATCTTTATACAAATAGAAGGACATATTTCAGTAAATAAATCATGTATTTTTCCTTTTTTGGGGGGGGCCAAGGATTCCATCCTTTTTTCTTCTACTAAATGCTGGGCCTGAACAGTTTCCCTCGTGGAGTCACCCACCATTTTAAACAATTTCATCCAGCCTCTATGAAATGGTCAACCTGTAACTTTCCTTTTATTTGTTATTTATCACAATAACAACCCAAACTGTGCCCAATCAGCAACCTCATGAACAACATAACTTTGGACCCAAAGAGGAAGACTTCGTTTATATCTCCCCCTTAAGCTCACAACTATCTACCTACCTATATATCTGCCCATCCAATTTCTATCTGTCATGAGTTCATCATCATCATCATCATCACCATCATCATCATCCTCCAGCCAACAGATTCATGTGAGGCTGTAGATCATCTTGAGCATTTCCACAAAAAACGGGAAAGCGATTTCTTTGACACAAAATTAAGGTGGCTTTCCCTCCTTATAATACTTAAGTGACAGAAAGTGACCCAATCACTCACAAGGACCCCCCCCACACACACACAAAAAAACATTTCCCCCAGTTACATTTTCCCACCAAAATACAAGGCTAAAATTTCCTGCCTTTCTTCCATGGGTTCATTCATAGCCATCTGTCCAAGGTCAATGCTGTGATGTATGTATAGAAAGAGAAATGAAAGATGAGTGATACAAAAAACAACACATTTTTACTCTCTCTCTGTTATTTTTAGTCCCTGTTCTTTTCCCAGCAATTCTAACATCTGCTTCCACTTTACAACCTAGAGATCCACCTGTGCCAAATACTGCTACTCATCTCTACCTAATTAATACACAATGAAACAAGGCATCAGTGGGGAATTAAGACACAACATTAAATGAACTAGTTCCTGGTGCTGCCAGGGAGGGAGATTAATCTTCTAACAGTTTATAATACCCTACTTGTTACAGAGTTTCCCCACCACCCCCATTTCAAGAGGTTTTGTGTGGACATTTACTACAACAACAGCAACAAGTGTCAAGGATGTTTAGCGTGGAGATCTTCAACTATGAAAACTGAAGTATTTGCAAGAAGGATCTGTAAATACTGTCAAAAATAACATACCACTGAAATGAATGACAAGATTGCTTCTGGATGATCTGTGCCTTTAAATGTGTAGTTAGATATTCACATATCACTGACTGATCTGAATTATTCAATGATTTGGCTATATACTAGAACAACAAACTTCCTTGAAAATGTGAAGCATGACAATCCTTCAAAACTGTTAACAAGATTGTAATTCTAAGACAGATAGTCACTTTGGATTCCTAAAGGATAGCATGAAAGGAAAATGATCAAAGTTGGCTTAAAACAGATGTGCAAAATTAAAAGAAGAACCAGGGTGTATTGTTAACTAGAAGACCCTCTTACCAGCACTTTTCAGATGAAGTAGATGTACTTTTGTAAGAAACACTGAGGCAAGTAGTAAAGAGGGAACACAAAATGCTGCAAAGATGTCTCAGAGTATGCAAGCCCGTTGAACTATTGAAATAAGTTCAATGTGAACACTGGAAGTTGGTTCTGACTGAAGTTTACTTGAAAACACAGCCAAGACAAACATAAGGTTCAACCTTGGGCAATGTGAAAAACAGGTAATTACTGACTACCTTGTTTAGCGACCATTTGAAGTTACAATGGTTTTAAAAAAAAAAACAGCTTTGCGACCAATCCTTGCATTTACAGTGGTCACAGCGTCCCGCAGTCACGATTGCCATTTGTGTACTTCACATCTGGCTTCCAACAAGTAGAATTAATGGAGAAGTTGGAAGTGAAATTTCAAGTCGTGGTCATATGGTCTCGCTTAATGAACACGGTGATTTGCTTAACAATGGAAATGGAAGTGATGTCATAAATCTGTTGTGGTCATGTGATTTTTTGCTTAGTGACCATGTCACTTAGTGGTGGAATTCTGGTTCCCATTGTGGTTGGTAAGTGAGGACTACCTGTACCTCTTTGAAGATCTTCTCTGCTCTAATAAAAGACCATATTTGATATTTATAAAACCTACCCAGAGACAGATTTTCACATTTGGTTTAAACATTGGCTAATAATAAGTGCTGATTATTTTCAATTAAATCTTAAATCCTGAGTAAACTTCCTTCTTTCTATTTATCACATTGTTTTTATTTTACAGGTGACAGTAATGCTTTACTTTCCAAAAATAGATGAGTGTTAACATTTTCAATGGTGTCTTCCAGAATTTAATAAAGATGTTGTAAAGCAGGTAGACGAGAAACACTTTTTTCTGCCAGGAAATTTCTATTT